GTTCCTTATGTTTCCGTGTTGAATTGGGCCCCGACAGTCGTCGACTTTACCTCCCCCCCCCCCCCCCCCCCCCCCCAACATTTTGCTTCAGGGACCTCCAACTGACTCTGGTTGTTGGATATAATGTCATAACACCAGGAATTTAGTGGTCGATACCAATACCAGGGAAATTCCACGACTGTCGATACCCAATTCAACACGGCAACATACACTCCTTCATTACCGTTTGCATGTTGTTTTATGCTAATTAATTATTAATCCCCGATGATCTGTCTCACGTTTCTTGCCAAAAAAATGCATTTTACAAGATTACATCTCAACACAACATGTTATAATTAAAGTTTTGCACTACACTTATTTTGACTGAGTAGAGCTTGAACGCATCATAATCTAACCTCCATACGTTAGCTGTTAGCTCTGTTATTTAGCCAGGCAGGACTTAGCTGGATACCACTGCTAACAGCTAACCTAAACTAGTTATCCTCCTGCACTTTTATCCATGTAAGAAAGCTTTAACATTGGTTTCTTGTTTTAGCTGTGACCAGCAGCTCACTATTCATGTCCCACCTGACACAAAGCGTTTCAACGTTGTTTGCATTACAAACTATTTCTAGTACGTCATTTACTGTTTGGTTTTAGTTTTGTTCGCGGTGCTTTGATTGACATGATATTGTTGATCATTTCTCAAAGTAGTGAAACGGCTTCATGGAAGTAACTAAAGTTCTAACTGTTCTCTGAAGACTCCCTGGTTAATGGCATCAGCCGGTGTCAGTCCGTCCTGTCTGCCAGCTGGAGCTGGTCCTTACAGACACGCCCTAACCAGCGGCGCACTGCTGGCATCCTCCGCCACAAGGACGACCCTGCCAGCAAGAGGTCAGCTGCTCCAGTGTGGGTTTCTGCATGCCTGTTTGCATGTCCATGCCTGTTTACCTATAAACAGTTATAGAAAAGGTGTACTGTGCTGCCCCCCCATAGTACTCACCCTCAAAGGGCCAGTGTGTAGCACTTCAGGGGGGGTCTATCCGCTGACATTGAATATAATATATATAACTATGTTTTCATTATTGTATAATAACCTGACACTAAGAATCGTTGTTATGTTTGTTAGCTTAGAATGAGCCCTTCATATACATAGAGAGCGGGTCCCCTTCATGGAGTCCGCCATGTTGCACCGCCACGTTTCTACAACTTACCTCAGTCTTGGAAAGGGAAGAGAGGGCAGAGGGTTATTCAGTCGGTTGCAATCTGGAACCACCCCGCTGGATGCCATCAAATCCTACGCACTGTCCCTTTTAAAATCTGATCTGTATTAAATAACGCCATTACAGAGAGCATCTGTAGCTCCTGTTACTGTTTCATCTGCATGTACCGCCTGCGCTGTGGTGACACTAAGCCGGGTTGAAAATCAGCAAAGTTTCCCTTTCATCTCTCCATCCTCCTCCTGATCTACCAACTGTTGAGGGAGGGATGTGCGTGGAGCCACCAGTCATATGTAGTGCTGTATCGTACTAAGCTCTAAGCCCGCTCACTTTCTAGTGGTCCAATCAAATGGAAAAGATTTGATTTAGATCCCTCTTTTAAATGTACACCCCTCAAATAAAAGTTGCAAAAATAGTTACTCGGCATAGTTACTGAAGTATACAGAGAGGTCTTGCTGTTATTTAGCCTCGCGTCATTGATATAAATGGGGTGGACAAAATAATAGATACACCTGCATGTGTAACTTCTCTTTGTTTAATTCTCTTCTTACAAATATGCATTAGAACCTTCATGAAGGATTTATTGCAGGACTGTATTAGTTTCAGATATGTGTACCTGATAACTGGCCCCTGACCATGTGAACATGTATGTGTGCGCAGACCACGGCTGCAAGCACAGAGGAAGTTCGCCCAGTCCCCTCCCAGCTCTCCGGGACCAGCAGGTTCGACGACACCGCCACGAAGCAACCACGCCCACAACCTGGCCGTGGTCACCTGTCTGACCCGACGCCGGCCCAAGACCGAGGACTTCTTGTCTTTCCTCTGTCTGAGAGGTGAGCCGCACGGGGAGTGGTCTGAACTGAGTCAGTGCTAGGAGCTCGGCTCCACTTCATCATGTAACCGTTACTGTGTGGACAAGAACTGATCAATTGATGAAGAAAGGCCGATGCACCGCTGTGTTTAAATTCATCTCGTATCTCTGGATCGTCAGAGATCCTTTCTCCATGTTTGAAGATCAGCTTCAGTTAATGTGCTTTGAATAAGGAAAAAAAATACGAGCTGCATGGGAATCCCACAGTTCTTTGTGTTTGCCATACTGTATCTCCTCCGAAATCAACAAAGGCATTTCCTCTTTCACTTCAGGTTCAGCAGCGTTGCCTAGCAACATGGCTTTCTTAGCGAGCGGACGAGCGAAGAAGCCATCTGGCGCTCAGCATCTTACCTCCTGTCGCTCCACCAATCACAGGACTGCAGCTGAGGGGAAGACCATGAGATTATTCAGTAGAAGCACAGGTACTCGTCCTCTGACCTGTCTGTGTGTCGGCCTGTGAGGAGTCACATTGGGTTCAGGGTGGATTTTTTTACCTAAAAATGTAAACTTTTATTGTCACACATCGTATTGTACACAGCACACAGTGAAATTAAGCCTCTGCATTTCACCCATCCTAGTATTAGGAGCAGTGGGCAGCTACTACAGTATATAGTGCCTGGGCAGCTGTTTTCCCTGGAAGCGAATTGGCACCCACCCAGCTACCAGTTACTGGTGATGAAACAGTTTAAATTTAATAATGTCGCCTCTTTATGACCTACATAATTAAACAAGACCATCAGCGAGATGATTGGCTATTTCTATATAGTTCTTCTTAATGCTTATCACCGGTGCCACCTGGTCAGCTTCAGATACAAGTTCACCTGAAACTCCTTCAGCTCAGACTCCAGCGGGGCCTCCATCATCAACCTAGATCCAGGTCACTGACGCCTTTGTCCTGCAGTCGGAAGCTCCAGCGATAGGAGAAGAGCTCCACGCCGGCCAGCAGCCGCTGCTCCTCCTCGTCCAGGAGCAGAGCTTTGCCTCGCTGCACCACCGGTCCCCGATGGGAGCCGACACCGACACCACTGCTAGAGAACCAGGCCGTATTGCTGGGCCTGCTGGAGGGAAGGGAGGCACAGGAGAATCAGAACCAGGACTGCAAGGGGCAGCCTATCAGACCCCTGCTGTAGTAAAATAAGAGGTTTTCTAAAGGGACTCTGGTGCTCATGGAAACAGTATCGCTTTTTTCCACAGGGACCGCCAAAACGAACACAAAATGAAAGTTCCTCGTAACTTTAGATCCAGTCTCGTCAGTCTTTGTGAGCGTGGTATATCTTTTAAATACTCTAATGATTGAGGCAACTTTCACTATAAAAAGGTTAATTCATCCAACAAAATGCTTTACTTACGTCTTGCTCTTTGCTTAGATAAATATATATTTTTCTGGCTTGTGTCTCTGTCTTGTTGTCCAACAGCGCAGCGAGACTTTAAGTCTCTGAGAGGGAGGCCTGGAGGCTCTGCAGTGGTCAGCACCTTCTGCCCTTTAACCGCCCGGGCACAGAGAAGGAGGGAGAGGGAGAGGAGAGAGGAGGAGCAGCAGCAGAGGAGGAGGAGGAGGGAGGGGGTGGAGGGGGTGGAGGAGGACAGGAGAGAGGGAGCTGAGAGACACCTCCTGAGACCTCGCCAGCTCTCCCTCCAGGTCAGGAGGACAAACAAGGTCTGATCATCCTTTCTTCACCCTTGTATGTCTGAAAGGTGTCTTGTTTGTATCATCAGCATTCTGACTCTTAAACTTCTATCAACGCCAGTTAGTCGAAGAGCGAAAAACATTTCTTACATCGATAAAAGCCTTCAGTGTCGGTCTCTGCTCTTCTTTCAATTATGTAATATTCTCCAGTTCTGATATAACTGATGCTATTGTAGCAGCTATGCTAACCTCCTTAGGGGCCGCCATTTTTGTTTAGAACAAACAGTCTCCTCTCCATGTCGTCACACACACACACACACACGTTGGGCTTTAAACGAACTATACCACGGTCACATGAGTCCACATTACCACCACCACTAAGCTGAAGGAGGACTGGTGTTTGGCTTGATGACTTTAAGTCGTCTCATTTAGCCCCTTGTTGGCATCCACTTTTTTTTAAGATGCGTAAAAGCTTCAGAGGGGAATTTACTGTCGTATTTTATGTCAACAAAACTTGGCTCCACCTGGCTTGATCTTACCTAAGGGGCTGGAAGGATCAAAAAGTTGAAACTAATAGAATAGATATCCGTACACACTTAGATCTATGCAGAGTGCTTTCGGTCTAAAGGACCTTCATCTGAGCATACATGGTTCAACTGGAATGGCAGCTGAAGAAACAAACGAATCACATTCAAATCACTGTATGCAGAAAACCTGTGCACACCGTGATTATTCATCAAAGATCCCCAGATCTATAAGAAAAACCTGAAACCTCTCAAAGCAAGAATAGAACGAGGGGCTATGGAGGAGTACCGGGCAGGGGCCCTCATAAACCATAGATCCCAAATTCTCCATTAAATATCTTGGATTACAGCAAAACACTTCAAAACCCTGGTTGAGGCCCATCGGCTGAAATGTATCTCAAGTGTCAATTCAAAAAAGCTCCCTTTGTCATATCTTTTTTTCCATATCAACCCCTCTTGGTGGTTCAATATGTTCAATGCCCTGGAATCAAAGAGAGGCTGTGAAAATTCATTGAAATCACTGGTGGCTGGATCGTTGACCTCATTGTGCCTGATGCAACAAAATGTTATACTCTCTTCAGCTTGTGTTAACTAACAGCAGACCTTATTTCAGGCATCCAACCAAAAACACAAGGGAACCGTAAATAAAAAATGCTAACTTATTTCCTTGTTTTGGGACTCATGGCTGCATCATGCTATCATGACCTCTTTCCGTTGCAGGTTGCAATGGCGACTGGACTCTCTGAACAAAGAACCTCCTGCCTCCGGTCAGTTCCTACGTTAAAGCCGAGCACGGGAATGGCCAGCAGACGCTCCCCAAGACCCTGCACAAGGCCTAACAATACCTGTAAACCGAGGGTCCAGGAAACCAACAGCAAACACCAGCTGCCTCGCAATCAGCACCTTCCCCTCCACCACCCAACGGCCTCCGACTACTATCGCAACCCCAAGACCTTCGGCGGTCTCCAGAACTCAGGAAGACATTCAGGCAGGACTCCGCCTTTGACTAACGGCCCAGTCATCAGGACGCTAGGTGAGAACCCTGGTGTCCTGAGGTCGTCCAGGAGACGGAGAGGCCTCCCACCGGACACCAGCCCCCCCCGACTGAACGGGCTTCCTTCGTCAAAGAAGTGCAGGACAGTGCAATGCAATGATGGCGATGTCACATCGGAGAGTGAGATCCAGCAGAGGGAGGACAACTGTGATAAAGATGTGAGTCACATTGCTGAAATCAACGGTAGCCACGACGACGAACCAAAAGGAGACGCATGTGGCCGTGTTGGAGAGATGAGACCGGAGAGGGGCAGTTGCGTTGGTGAAGACCGACAGGCCGAGGTAAACGTTGGAGAGTTGAGTTTGACCAGCGTCTCTGCTCTGGAGCCCTCTCAAGAAAGGGTCAACCTCGCCAACGTCACCACGAACTGTGACCTCAGCCCCGTCAGGGAGGACGCGTGCAGACATGCGAGAGAAAAAAGGCTCCAGAGAAATCCACGCACTTCATCCACAACCCCTACGACAACTACCAGGACTGCTGATCCTAGGCCTGTTGCCAGAGCTGCTGCTGCTAGAACTACTGTAACTAAAGCTGCTCTCAACTCAGTGACAGCCACACACGTACGCACTGACCCACCAGACAGTTATTCTGCCAAGCACACTCCTGAGGGTATTAACAAGAACGTTACCAAGTGTACTTCTCCAGCCAGCGGTTACTCTATCCATAATTCCAAAGGTGCTGCAAAAGACACTTCCGAGGGGACCACGGGGGAACCGACAGAGGACAGTGCTCCTGTCAGTAGCTGTTCCAGCACTTCCAAGGCCTCCGCAAAGGGCCTAACCCAGACCAAGTCTACTACCTCAGCCATTAAGACCAGGACCAGCCCCAGAACCCTTCTGAAGCGCTAACAAGCACCTGAGCTACGCCTGAAAACGTTCACGAGTTCACTGAATTGAGAATTGATGTCGGAGGCCATTGGCAAGGTATTTCAAAAAAAAAAAGCATTGAATACTGTTGATCTTAAGCACGGCCTGATGATGGCTGTTGACTGGTCGGATAGTGACGCAGTGACTATGTACTGTTCTCTACATTTGTCAATGATTGTGTGATTGTTTTAATTCCATAGGGGTGAAATATATCGTTTGAAGACGCATTGTAATGGAAGATACCGTTGCTTAATGGACTTTATGGTGAAAAGTCACAGTTTTCAGATACTTCCCTGCTGTATCTGAAGTAATAGCTTGATATTTTTGTATAATTCACATGGAAAAGGTACTGTGTGTGTTTTTTTTTAGTTGTGTTTTTTTAATCAAAGCACATAGTTTAACTCGAGTCGGTCTGCTGTGCAGTTTTCAGTAGCTTACGTAGAGAAAGCTGTGGTGCACACTGCTACGTGCCAACGCTCTGGGGCTTTTTGGCAGGTCTTTGGTAGTCTGGTCACAATACAGTCCTGCCTTTTTATTTAAACAGGAATAATCTGTTCGGGATGGGTTTCTCACCAGAATATAAGGATAAGTTCACATTTATTCAAGTCTCTCCTAAAACAGTACTTGCTCATACGAACAATGGAACAGGTTTAAATCGTTTATACTGTCCGATTAATTCACACGTCAATATATCATTTCAAACTGTTGTTTTAGTCATGAAAACCAAGACGGCAAACTACATTCCTCCTTTGTGCCCTGACTAAGGCAGCCAGACCAGATCCACTCCTTCCACTCTTACCTTTCACAATAAAAGTCCTAGACATATAATATTCGCAGGTGTGTATTTTGCATTTTTTTGTGCCGTTTATTTGTTAAGTAACATGCGAAGAACAAACGTTTTTTTATTTACCGATTTATATCTTTTATTTTCCCCTTCCACTGAAGCCTGTGATGCCCGTACTGTACGTACCATTAACACGTTTTTGTCTATGCTTCACTAGGGGTAGTAAGGCGATATGAGGGGGGGTGCCATCCCCCCTCGTTTACCTGCCATCCCCCCTCTCCCTCCCCTCGTTACAGAGAGTACAGGGGAAGAATATGTTAGTCTAGTCTAGTCCGCCTGACTCATTGATCCTTTATCTGACTGAGGTTTGTGGCTCTGAAATAGCAAAAATATAGACTTGTAGAAATAGGAGGAGATGTGTGCCCACACTGGATATCACTGATTCTACTGAAATGTCAGAAGGCTTTTAGGACTACGTCAGGTGCTATTAGTTTGTTCATAAACTGATTTAGGGGAGGTTAAATAGAAGAGTGGTAAAATGTTATGGCTGTATTAAATATAATAAAATAAGTCAATACACATTGGTCAGTAATGCACATTTTTTTATCAGTGCAGCCAATGTGTGTAGGATTTAAACAAAACAAAAAGTTTATACAACTTGTGTGTCATTTCATGTTTCATGTGTAAGTTATGTTTTTTTTTTTTTTGGTAAAATGAGTAAACTCTTTAATCCCCAATGGAATATGAACACATGAAAGGATAAATATTTGTGCTAAGGCAACTGTAAAAAGAAAAAATCTGTATAAATGTGAATCTTTTGAATGAGAATTTGCAATAAAATTACTTTGCATATTTATCTGCCGGGTGCATTTAACTCATTTAAACTGAAGCCGCACATTGCAACAAGAACATACCATCCTGACAATGTTAACCTTAACCCTTAAAGGAATACTTCTCCCACAACATGGCCCTTTGTTTATTCATTTCTCGCCCAGTGTTACCTTGAGTTCATAAAGAACTATTTGTTTTTCTCGCATGCCTCCACGGGGAACAAAGAAACCAAGGACAAGCTGGACAAGCATTTTGTTTTTTTTCCTCATAAAATTATGGTTTTCTGACCAGATTTACGAGGGACAACAGTGGCCCATTGTACCAGATGGGCAGCTCTGGGACTTATTTTTTTTTCAGAAAAGGGAAGAAGAAAAAACCGAAAGAGGACATCCATTCTGTCTGCACCCTGACACAGGACTGTGAGGCACTGACGGAGGCAGAAGGGGGCGCTGTTGCGCAGCTAGAACAAAGATGGGTTCCCATGTTTTTTCATGGGAGTTAAGCCTTTCAGGCAGCTTTTCCACTCAGGCAGCCTTTCTGTCTTCGTAAATATATATTTATTTATTTTCTACAGCAGACATAACTCCACCACATATCGTCTACATTACAACATATTGCACAAGCTGTCAGATATCAACTGTGGGAGTCACCAGGCTCGAAAGACTCGGAGGAAAGGAGGTGCTGCCTGGGAGACCGAGTTCAGGACGTAAGACCAGCATTATCTACCAGAGCAAGTAGCTTACAACTGACGTTAGCTGGCCAGTGCACCAGTAGTGTTGACAGACAGTTAAGGCCAAAGCTCACGTTACTGTTTTTAGATGTTAAAGAAACCGGAACTGAGAGGCATCATGTTTGAAAACTTCAGAGAAAGACTTCACATGGTCCAGCAAGATTTCACAACGGGGTTGGTCTGCATTCTGACAACGTTAACCTCTTTAGCTAGCTGTGATAACCTCCAACTCATTAGCCTGTACGATATACGAGATGTGTGTGGTAGCCCTCGTCGCAGAGCACAACATGTAAACTTAATGATGACACAATTGAGATGTGATTAGCACCTATGTTGGCTAACGTTGTAACGTTAGTGTGCTGCTAGTTAGTTACATTTACTGAGAATGTAATTTGCAGCGTAACTCCGTTGAGTTTGTTATCGTCCTAGCTAGCTCGGTCCTAGCTGTTCCTGGATATTGCTCTCAGCTGACCATCATGTGACGACTTTTATTTTCTACCCAGGACGGTGAAGACGTACACCACATCCATATGACGAATTAATATCAATAACTAATTGGCCAATGGAATTACAACTATCCAAATTTCAACGATGTGAATTCTAAAAGCACATTTTTTACAACACACTGAAATGGAGCTCCTAGAAAGTGTCCTTTTCAAAAGCTGCCCTGTATCCTTTTTATCTGTGTTGACTTGTCGACACATTTAACCTCAGCTGCTCCTGGTGTCACTGGCTACCTCATTGTCTATACTGTATAGCAAGTGTACTTGAGCAACACACTGAACCCCAGTTACTGGTTAGTCCAGTACCTTGCATGCTAGCTTGGTCCCGTCTGTGTGGACAAAGTTGAATGAGCATCACATACTGTGAAACACGTTTGGTAAAAGTACAAATGTAGCCCATATTGCTATATACTATGTTTTTAACTTGGTGTGCAAAGGCAACATTGCTCTACATCCTCGTTGAACTTTTCTATGTGTCTCTCTAACGTTCCTCCGTCCAGCTTCAAGACCCTTGGAGACAAATCCAGAGACACCAAAATCAGGAGGAAGCCCCGGTGAGCAGAGAACCTGCGTGTGTGCGCGTGTGTGTGTGTGTGTTAACTGTGATTTAAAGGTCTTACTATCGAGGTCAAACATTCTTCGAAACTGCTCTGCCAACCTTTAGAGCAAAACTGACAATTCAGCTTTCAGTCGCACTCGTATCATTTCTGGAGGCAGGTGGTATTATTATTCTTGTAATCATATGTTTTTTGGGGGGTTCTGACTTATTATAGGTGTGGCCGGGTCATTGTTTGCAGAGGTTTAATCCTGTAGGAGAGTGTAGGCCTGGAAATTATTAAAAATGTGAACCAATATGAAGCTCTACAGAAAACATAATGTGTGTGAATGTGAGATAGTCCTTGTAACGTAGTAGCCTGTCAAAATAGAACCAGGTCTCAACCCGTTTGTGTGTGGGGTGGGCTGCATTTACACTGACCTGCTCAATATGTTAACTGTCAGTGACTTCACCTATGAAAGATTCTCATGGGGAAACCCTGACTTTGTTTATTCTCCAATCTCTGAATTGTATGAATGCTCACATTATTCAATCATTAGTCAACATTGTGTGATTCTCTGTTGTTCAGGTTTGAAGAAAGCCTTCCTCATTTCAGTGCTGGACTGGACCTCCTCAGCAGGTACACACACGCACACATCACTGTTCTTCTGTCTTTGTGAGGACACTGACATAATGCATTCCTTAGCCCCTTACCTTAACCATCACAACTAAATGTTTAACCCTAACCTAAACCTAGTTATAACCCAAACCTTAAAACCAAGTCTGAATTCTCAAACCGGTAAAAATGTCCTCACTCTGTCGATAAAAACTTGTTACGGTCCTCTCTATGTAACAAGTACAAGAACAGACACACACACAGTCAATTTCCAGAAGCGTTGATGTATATGGAGGGTGTGTTTATGTGTATGCGATGTGTTTCTTCAGGTATGAGGAGAGCTGGTTTCTGCTCCATAAAAGAACCAAAGACTGTGCTCAGACTGCAGAGGTAGGACCAGCACACTGTTCACTTCTTTAAACACCATTCATGAATCACAATGTATAAGGAAGCGTCTTCTGGTGACGGTGGTGTGTTAATGGAGCTGGAGTATCAGATAAAAACAAACGCATGTACACATGGCAGCAGGTTCACAGAATACTGTCAGACACCAGTGTTGGCTCTCCATAGAAACCTGGTTTTATACTCAAATATCTTAATATTTTAGAGAAACGCTACTCCGCACAAGTTTTTAACACAGTAAGCTAGAGCTGAAAGGATTCATTTATGGGTCAATCTACGGACATTTTGTTTGAAAACTGTAGCTGCTTCACAACAAAGTGATAAGAAATTGGCTGGTTGAAAGCTTTGATTACTTTGAAGCAGTGACAGGAGCTGTTGTGTTCTGTCCTGTGTGTGTGTGTGTGTGTGTGTGTGTGTGT